CGCCTAGGCTAGCTATAGTACTGTACAGTTGTCGCACCGGTGTGGCAGTGACAGTTATTGCCGTGTTCCGCGGCTCTCGTCTAGGCTTGGGCATGATCATTCATTGCGTGAGCTATGCTCGCAGCCCAATCTGTGATGGTGATGTTGTTGCACTCCCTGAACTATCGATCTAACATAATCTCACTTTTTTCGAACTCCAGAATCAGATATCTTCGGCAACAAAGAGGAACAAGGAAGAAAAGGGGACACGAGGGATGCGCGGCTATGCCTAGATTGGCTATAGTAGTATATAGTCGCCGCGCCGGTGCTGCGGTGACGGTTACTGCCGTGTTCCACGGTTGTCGACTAGGCTTGGGCCTGGTCATTCACTGCGTGAGCTCCATCGACAGCCCAATCTATGATGATGATGCTGTGCACTCCCTGAACTATCGATCTACCATCGTAATCTCACTTTTTCTTTCGAACTCCAGAATCAGATATCTTACAAGACAGAGAGGAACACGGAAGAAAAGGGGACACGAGGGATGCGCGGCTGCGTCGGTGTGGCGACGACGGTTACTGCCGTGTTCTGCGGCTGTCAGCTAGGCTTCAGCCTGGTCATTCATTGTGTGAGCTTCACCGGCATCCAAATCTGTGATGGTGATGCTGTTGCACTCCCTGACTATTGATCTACCGTCGTAATCTCACTTTTTCTTTCGAACTCCAGAATCAGATATCTTTGACGATGGAGAGGAACAAGGAAGAAAAAGGGGACACGAGGGATGCACGGTTGTGCTTAGGCTAGCTATAGTACTGTATAGTCGCCGCGCTGGTGCTGCGGTGACGGTTACTGCCATGTTCCGCGGCTGTCGGCTAGGCTTGGGCTTGATCATTCATCGCGTGAGCTCCACCGACAGCTCAATCTGTGATGGTGATGTTGTTGCACTCTCTGAACTATCGATCTACCATCGTAATCTCACTTTTTTTTGAACTCCAGCAAATATCTTCGGCGCCGGAGAGGAACAAGGAAGAAAAGGGGAGACCATGGATGTGCGGCTGCGTCTAGCTGGCTATAGTACTGTATAGTTGCTGTGCCGGTGCTGTGGCGACGGTTACTGCCGTATAGTTGCTGTACCGGTGCTTTGGCTGCGCCAAGGTTGTTTGTCTTTCTTGCTCGATCTGTTACCCTCACAAACGCGAACCAAACAAATCAAGTATCGACTTCCATCGTTTACATTAGCACTGTTTCTTTTAAACCCTTTACTTTTGCATTTCCTTATATTAGTCTAACCAAACACTACCATAGCTTAATTTTGGTACTGTTCATGGATGTTTATACATCAATTACTAGCCCCCCTAAGACATGCCTCGGTGCTTGCTCTGGGCAGAAGTACATGGTCGCACTTGCAAGTGACATGGGGACTGCAGCTCTGGAAAAAAAAGTACATGCTCTGCAAGAATAAAATGATATTTAATTCAATACTTAAGTATCGTTAGCCACTGCAGCTCAAATGGAAAATGAAGCATCGGTCATCGTTTGGTATTTGAAGCATCGAATTGGATATAGAACACTGTGGCTAGTCTAGTAGTTGAGTCAAGCTCCGCCGCTGTATTGGGGCTGCTACTACTAGCTCGAGGAAGCGTAGTTTTTTTTTTTGAATGGAGAGAGCGTACGTTGGGACGAAAGAATTGGAGAGGCAACGAATTCGTAGTGGAAATGGATCTGTTTTTCAGCAACTCGCCTGATAGCGATGACAACAGCGACAGGGCCGTCAATTACCGCGTGACCCCGCGTGAGCTCCACGTACGTGCGCCAGGAGGCCCAGGAGGCCAGGACCAGGAAGAATATTGTGTGTGTGTGTGTGTGTTGACCATCGCGGTCAACTGGGCGTTGGATGGAGGCATGGAGCAGATCCACGGCTTCGAGCGCTGTGTTTGTGGTGCTCTGGGGTTCCATGGAACAGCGGCAACGTAACGTCGCTTCGGTCATTCACCAGGCCTTCTCCATCGGAAGCAAAGCTGCAACGTAATTACTCACTGTGCATACAATGCCCTGATGGTTTTACTGGCATAATTTTTCGCTCAGAATATGAATATTTGTTCCAACAAAACCCCTAGGTTCTGCACAAGCTCTTGTATTTTGTTCCTTGATTGATAGAATATACTTGGCCATAGAAAAAATCTCTCGAGTATTTTTTTTTAAATCTGGCATAGCTTATTATAGTTGAGGCCAACAAGCAACTCGTGTTTCCTATAATTAACTTGCTAAACCAATAAATTTAGTTAGTTAACAAAATAGAAGTAGCAACCTTAATTTATTTTTTCTCTAGTATTTCCTATATTAGCTTCCTAAATGATTTTGCATTATGAACAACCAACCAAATCTCTTTTAATAGTTTCTTTGTTTTTTACCATCTGCTCACCTAGAACTCTTTATTTTCTTAATTTACTCGTGACTTCAATTTACTCTGATTTTCTAAGAAAAACGCTGGATGGAGAGAGGATACGGAATTCCTCTCGACTACGAAAACTTACAAGTTGGAAAAGACATTTGACAACATTTTATTTTTATTAAGGAGCTCTTTTAACAAACTGTTGGAGTGGATTTTTTTTCTATTTTAATCAAAAAAACAAAATAGGAGGTTTATTATACAAAACTCCTGCACACGCTGTACCCGAGTTCCAAAAGAGAAAGAAGAGGATTTGAGGCCTTGCTACTGCTACTTAAAGCATCTCCAAGAGTCTTTTCTAAATTTTATTTTCTAAATCATTATTTGGAGAGCCATTTGCATAAAAACTATTTTCTATATCTTTTCATTCTCCATCAATTTTTCTATATCTCATGTGCACTCTAGAGAACCATTCTAGTCTTCTATATTTGGCTAGCGAAAAATTTGAAATAGAATATCACTATATTAAGATGATCATTTAAAAAAACTGTTGAAGTGTAGTTTTTTATCAAAATCTCTATTTATGACATTTAGAAATGATACTGAGGGTCCTTTGAAGATGCTCTTAGTGCGGCCTCAACTGGAGATTTAGCTAGCTGAGGTGGCAATGAAACAATAAACAAAGGAAGCATTAAGTGAAGGTGAACGAATCCAAATCTACATGCAAGACACAAGAAGCGTTGGGTAGTGTGCAAGACTACTGCTTCATTCGTCACTAGTTGTACTCTCACATCAATGGCCTGAGAAACTCCTAGCTATTTTAGCTAAAGGCAGAGGACTTCTCATTTAGCACGAGAAACTCCTAAACTCCGTGCCCTGTCCGCACATAGAGGCCCGTTACCTGGTGAGAGCAGTTCCAACGAAAGAAACTAGTAGTTTCTATAACATAAGACACCGCACCAAAAAAGTACTGCTTTTCAACCCATGGTTTCTATGAGTAATAATTATTTTCTCTTTCTCTCTCCCAACTCTATCTTCTTACTTCAATGAGAGTGCAACACGAGCTGCCTAGAAACTGGTGGTTTCTTCCCAATGGTGATTTCATGGTTTCTTGGTACATTGGGTCAAGAGTAGATCTGATTTCTTCTAGAGGAAACAATTTCTATGATTTTTGCTCTCTTTCTTCATTAATTACGTTGCCATGTCAGCGTTTTGGCTACGTGGTAAGTCATTTAATAAGGATAGAAACCATCATCAATGCACCATTAGGACTGCCCTAAGAGAGCTGATTCGTTTTACTTGTGCTTTGAAAACGCGGGACAGACGAGAATTTTTTTATCCACACAGCCGATCAGAAATTCGTCTGACTAAGAATTCAACCTATGCTCATGGGATGCCACCTAGAGGCTTGACCGACCGTAGGCAAACGAGGACGCCCTTACTACTCCTTCGGCTACTTTGACTAATCATAAGTTACCCGTCTCCTTCGCCTAGGTCGTCCACCGTCACAGTTAGGATTCGTTCGGTTACTGGAGATCGAATCCCGGCCTAACTGTTTCTTCGTAAGGCCACGTTCGTTTGAAGGGGAACGGATCCCAGGAAATATTCTAGGCCGGATTGGTTACCTAATTTGAATAAGCTTTAGGCAACCGGAATCGTTCCTGCCCGGGTTTCAACCGAAACGAACGAGCCCTAAATTTATATAGCGCAGGAACCGTTCCGAGCACGGAACGGCCCGTCCTGGAAGAAACGAACGCAGCCTTAAGCTTCTTTGGCTAGTCAGTCCATATACACGGACGAAAGGTAGGGGAGATTTCACAAACCATCATAGTTTTTTACAAGTCAATTTTGTCCTCACAGACCAAAAAACAATATTGGTCGCCTAAGCTGGACTATTTCGTGTACACCAGCTTGTGTTTGTGGACATAGAAACACACATAAAAAAAAAGAAAAATGTAAACCGTATATATTACTAGTAGTTGACAAGGCTGTACATAACATACGTGGTATTAATTAATCGTATTTATAGTGCTACAGATAGAATAATGTCGAAGACTTGTAGCAAGAATTCGTCAAAAACAGGAGAGGCAGGATCGCCTACTATGTCGTCGCCAACCAAGGAAATGGATCCACGAAAAGACAAAGTTTCCATCTCCCTTCCACGTACGGCAACTCTATGATGATTCAATCCACGCACGCAAAGCTAAATTGCATCAGCGCGCAATAATTGACCAGAAAAGAAAAACCAAGCAAAAGCTTGTACATCTAAATAAACGCAGCTCGTGTACAACTAATAAAGAATCAAGCAATAGATAGATAACAGCAACCACGTGCGCCCAGCCGTTGATCACTTGATCGATGGATTCATCTGTACCAATTTGATTTGAAACAACCCCTTGAGTTACATCTCATCAAACACTTGACTGATTGTGTCAGATCATCAAGAACAACATCTACCACCAAAAGCCCCACAAGTAGAAAGAACATCGAAAGCGTCTACATTTTTTCTCTTATATATACTGTACTCACCATGAATCCATGGTGATATATCAAGCAACCTGCAGAGCATGAAAAACAGAGAGGAGGCAGAGCCAAAACCATGGAGAATTATATGCATCCATCCTTGGAGGATCAGGACCATCCGGAGACGAGGTTGAAGTAGCGGTCCTTGATCCACTTGAAGCTCTTGCGGAAGGAGCCCTTCACCTTGCCCTCCACGCCGTACGCCTTGTACGACGCCACCCGGCGCTTGCGATCCATGTCCGGGTCCGCCAGCGCCAGCCACCGCCGCTTCGACTTGCTCCGCTTCACCTCCTCCTCCCCCGGCCCCGGGCCGCCGTACTCGTACTGGTACGAGTAGGAGTAGGACGACGTCCCCATCCCGCCCCCGCCGGCGCTGTAGGAGTAGGACCGGAAGTCCGGCCGCGCGCCGCCGCCGTAGTACGGCTCGATCTGCATGCGCCCGCCCGCGTACGACTTGGACCGGTCCATGGCTATCAGGCAGGCTATGGGTGGGGCTCTTGCTCCTGGCGGTCGAGGCAGAGGAGAGGGAGGAGAGGGAGATGATGACCACGAGCACACGGCAGCGATTAGTAGTAGCTTAGCGATGGTGATGGTTGGGTTGGGACGACGAAGCAGAGGAGAAATGGTATGGAGGTGGAAGCTGCGGTGGTTGCGAATATGTGCTCCACTCGATTGGATGGAACGGAATGGAAAGCGAGTAGTAGTATAGTATCCAAGCGCGCGGTTTTGTCAATTGTTGTGTTGAAATATCGCCAGTTGACGTAGGAGTTTTTGCTCAAAGAACCCAAGATTTTTTTTCTTCTCCTTTTGATGAATTCTGGTTAGAAGAAAAGAAGGGGCTTTCTGTTTTTATAATAAATAATCTAGAGGAGGCGCCGGCTGTATGCCTGTATGGATGATGATGTGGTGGCCTGACTTGATTTATTGAAGCGGGCCGGGACAAGACAAATTGTTGCGGCGGCAGACTGTCAGTGGTATCTTCTGGTAGGCAGGTTGTGCGAACGAATTAGGGCTGATAGATTGATTGTTAACGCGGAAACCACCAATTTAGGTCTTGTTTAGTTTCTTTTCTAAAGTTTCCTCCTTATCATATTATATGTTGGACACATACATAGAGTATTAAATATAGACTAAAAAATAATTAATTACACAGATTGCAACTAATTTGTGAGACGAATTTTTTAAGCCTAATCAGTCCATGATTTAACAATGTGGTGCTACAGTAAATATATGCTAATGACGTATTAATTAGGCTTCATAAATTCGTCTCGCGGATTACTGAGGACTTCTGTAATTTATTTTATTATTACTATCCGAACACTCCCACATAATACTCCGATATAACACCCAATATGACATCTAAACTTTACTCTCTGAGTTTATACACCACCGGAGCTTCGTTCGTGGTCAGCCACCTGAAGCGGGTAGCCAAGGTGCCAGCAGAGAGTCCACGTTACCACGTGTGCATGGGCTATCTGTGCATGGTTTCATGGTTTGGTTCCTCCAAGCTCTCCGTAGGTTTCATGTCAAGGTTGTGAACACCAAAAAAGTTCAATTTTTGCCACGAACGCCCCTAGGTGTTGTTTTGCGATGCACATGTTCTATTGACTGGCAGTCTCCGAGAGCAACCTTAAACCCCCGGGGCGAGGCCTTACTTTGGTATGTTTTCGATTCCTACGCCAACAGCCCAACACACTATTTGATGGCTCAAAAAAAAAAAAGATAAATCGACGGTCACGACAAACCAAATCTCTTAAAGATTGCAATGGCAAACTTCTATTGATCAGTTGGTTAGATTTCTCGTGGTGGAACCTATAAACCCGGGTTTAAGTTGTCGACTTAGCACAGGTGCTTGCATTTTTCTGGATTTATTCTAGGATTTAACGGCACTATGCTTTGTGTGGTAGGCGACGTCCCCGTCGACAGCGAGACGCCTGTGATGACTTCGTGAATCTCGAGATCTGCTGGCTCAGTCCTTTGGAGGTTTGCGTACGCTTGTTCAAAGGGGTGAGTGTGCGGGCGTGTTGTGGGCATCTGCGTTACACTGTGTAATTCTAAAAAAAATCATCAATTGTGATATTGATGAACTTTTAGAAAAGAGTTGCCAAAGATTCTTTGAGGAGTTTAAGGCAGAGGAGGATCTACAGTTGTACCTCTCCCACTTCAAGCATGACCTACAAGGCGTTGTCACAGCCTTGTCAAGTGCTAACTCCATCACTATATATCAATTTTAAATCTAAACTTTTCCAGAACTGACCAAATTTATATAAAAAATGGTGCATCAGGTTATATACATCATAAACTATATTTTCATAATGTGGTCATTTGGTGTCATAAATATTTGTATTTTTTCTATAAATCTAGTAGACATAAAAAAAGTTTGACTTAAAATAATTCTAAAAATTGATTTATGTAGGAACGTAGGGAGTAAATCAAAGAAGTCACCTTCACTCCTCACACTGAGGTAAAAGACCCATGTAAATGAATTATGGTCATATCCAAATGCAATAGGTCAAATAGATACTATGTTCTTCATTCAAGCCAGATATGATTGCCTTCGTTCGATCGTTGGCATATGGTAATAATAATGAAAAGCACAAACAAACCGCAACGATAACGCATCTACTTTCTTTGGCCATACATATGTTTGGTTTTCTCACCCATAGAGCTTGTCTCGCCTCATGTTGCCTTGCCGGCATAAGAGAGTCAAATTGGCTTGTCCATGTAAGTAAAGAAAAAACCTTGCTTTCATGGGCTACAAAGGATGCTGGAAAGAGATCCAAACACAACAATTGTTTCAACTTCTTGCCTGGCAAGGTGACGCAAGCATCAACTAAGGCAAAGGGTGGAGCTAGAACTTGGGCTAGGAGGGTGCTCCTCCATTTCACCTCTAACATCTGTTAATTCCAAGCATAAGGAGCAGTATTCTAGCCACCGGAGCAAAACAGTATAAAGAGATTTCATTGTCAAGACAGGTGCTACGCCATGTCATGTCGGTAGCATAACAAATTCTACCTTCTAGTCCACCGATAACACCCCGTAACATTCGTACTTTATAAGGTTTATTAATGCAAAAATAAAATTAATATACTTACTGTTTATTAACCGCATCTGATTGTGTGTTGCATGTAATAAATAGGCCAAACCTTAAGTCAAATCTTTTCCTCTCCCTCTATTTCAAAGTTCTAACTTAAATTTTTTGAAATAATAATTTAAAATATTTCCATTAATCCGACACCTTATAGAGTTTCCAAAACTAAATTCAATTTCCTTTTTTACAATAGAAAATAGGGATTGAATTCTAGCTCTTAATTAAATTAAATTCAAAGCCTCAAATGTTTCTTCTCAAAAACCCAAACCTCTCTCTCATCCCTATCAAAAGAAGCTTTTCTAATTAATGTGTGTGTTTCACATACATGTATGTGTGAGATGGTTTGTGTTTGGCTTCACTTAGTTTCATTTTGAGTTATAGAGTTTATAAAACTAAAATCAATTTCCCTTTCTACAATATAAGACAGGGATTGAATTCCAGCTCTTATTCGAATTCAATTCAAAGCCTCAAATGTTTCTTTCTCAAAAACCCAAACCCTCTCTCTCTCTCTCATCCATATCAAAATAAGGTTTTCTAATTAATTTCTGCACTTCACATACATGTATGTGTGAGATGGTTTTGTGTTTGGTTTCATTTGGAGTTAAACCGTTTGGAAAACCTAATAAACTAAATAAAAAAGGAAAAGGGTTTCTCCTAAAACCTATCCTTGCCTTCAGGCTAAACCAGCCTGGTAAGGCCCCTGCCAGCCTTCTCTCTCCTTCCACTTCATCTCGATCTCTGCGACCGGCTCGATCCAGCCTGCCAACTCCCTTCCCTTCTCCTTTCCAGTCTAGCCTGCCTTTCCTTGGCCCACCACTCATTCTTCTCTCTATTTGTTCCCTTTGCTCGCCACCTATCTTGTCTCTCGCTTCGCCTCTTTACTGTGCTTTGGCAAGCATAAGGGTGCGGTGGCCACCATCGACATCGACAAACACATGGCCGTCATCAAAGGCAACCAACTAGAATGAGGCTCCGGCACTCTAGCTAGAGTCGCACGCCGACATCGACAAACACATCCCGACAGTTTTTTCAATCCCGAACATTCAATGAACCATCTTGTAATCCTTCGATACATCCTACATCATCACACCCATGGTTTGTGCATGGAGGGCAGGCCAAATTCTGCCAGTCTGCTCCTAAGTCCTAACCGGCAGCCAAATGTTCTAGGCCGCTGGCAGTTGCCTGCTGCTGTAGACAGGGGCGGAGCCAGGATTTGAGTATAGGGGTCAATAGACAAAGTTCATGTTGGTAGTCCTAAGGTGTAGAAGCTTCTAGAAGTTTGCAATGTAACCTTCTAGATATTATCACCATGGATCGAGTCTTCACCAGTACCTTTTGGCAGGAGTTGTTCAAGCTAGCCAAGACTCAGTTGGAAGAAAACCATTTGAAGTGTTGTACGAGCATGCTCCTTGGCATTTCGGTCTCAAGGACAGTGTGGTTTGCTGTGCTCCTGAGCTGGAAACTTGGATGCAAGAAAGGTAGTTAATGGAGAAGTTGGTACAACAACATCTATTACGAGCGCAACAGCGAATGAAGTCCTCCCTGTCAGCTAAGCAAGGTGAGCCCAAGCTCTTCCTTTCCATCCCTGCCGTAGTTGATAAAGATAAGTGGAAACTTGGTACCGCAGCTGTGCCATAATAATTACTGCTTGAGGAAAAAGATTAGTGGTGCTCCGTGATACTCAGAAATGGTGCCTTTTATTGTAAAAATGGATAAAGACATGACCAGAATATGAGAAAGTTGCTTGGTCCTTTTGTTCCCTTGTCGATCTGAAGGTGAGCTTGTGATGATATGTAAAACTTCTTTTAGTTTAGGCTTACCTTTTCAATACTCTCCTGATAAAATGTGTAGTTCTTTTTTTATAGCTTGATTCTATAAACTGAATTGAACCCTCTCTGTGTTGCATGATCTTGAAGCAGTCGAGGCGCTCATCCAAGATTTACTCGCATTGCAATGCAATGTTGGCAAGATGTTTCTTTTGATGTAGTGTTCTAGGAAGGAGTACTTGCAGCCTACCATTGACAACATGGCGGTGCTTGTGTCCAAAAGAGTGACCGTTATCGCTGCAAGTATGGATGAGCTTGGGTGGTTTCAGAAGGCACGGGTACCTGTTCTCATGTGCTTTCAAGAATTACAGGATGCTCAAGCCAAGAGTGATACACGGAGAAACACAACAAAATCAACAGTTTTGAGTGCACCTGTTGTAATGTGGGTGCCTTGCGAATTAGCATCATCAGTCTTTTAGAGGATTGGCTGATCATAAAAAAATATTGTATGTCCCATTCACTGGAACGATTGATTTGTAGGAATATGAGATAAAGTGCACAAATGAAAAAGCAAAAGTTTTGATCTATTTTCTGTTGTCAAATTTTCTGCT